GAGCTTCTCCAAGCAGGCACTGGGGGCTACTTAGGACCCTAGTGTTGGTTCAAAGCTGGAGTTTGGATGGCCAGCATTTGGAGGGGCTTTCTCAAGCAGGGAGATGGAGCTGAGCAGGAGCTGGGGGACAGAAAGCTGGAGTTTGTGGCCTGTCATTCTCAGTGTATTCACGAGCTGGTCCGATGAAATCACAGGTCAAGGTGTCTTTGTGGAGTATGATGAATGCCAAGCACCATCCAACAGAAAGGCAGTTCGTACAAACATGATGTTGTGTCCTCATCCACCTTATTCACTGAATCTGACCCCACTGTGAGACTTCTGGCTCATCTCTAAAGTCAAGAAGACCATGAAAGGTAGACACTTTAAATGGATTCACCCTGAGGCAGCCAGGACAGCGAGACTAAAGACCCTCAGGAAGGAGGACTCCAGAACTGCTTCAGAAAGTGGCAAGAACCAAGGGATGATTGTGTTTGCAGCGAGGGGGAGGATTTCAAGGGGAATTCATGGCAAAGTGTCTTTTACTGTACTAAATAATAAAATTCTTAAATATTCACTATGTTTTTTGGTCACACTTGTTTATGATCCAGGTGAGGAAGTTGCACATGTGTTGGTGTGGTGCGTCTGATAAGCTCATGGGGCTGTTTTCCCTGTATGACTTAGCTGTATCCATGTGTCCTTGATTTAATTAATTAAGTCCACAGGTGACCATTTGGTTAGCTAGGTTCATTTTATTTTATCAGCAGATGCCTTATGGTTGTGCTGTGCAATGGGGAGTTTTTTCTGAGAAGTTTGGTGTGTCCAGCATTGGGTGGTTATCTATTTGGACAGATTAGTGATCAGGTCATTCTGCCTCAGCAGTTGTGCTCCAAATAGAGCATGCTGCTATTGTATAACATGGAGTCACTCAGAGTAAAGCACAGCCTGAAAGCTACTACTCTATGCAACATGGAGAAAGTCAATCAGGACACAGCTTCCAATGTCCTTAGATTTTCTCCATGAATGTATTTTTAGCTGAACTGAATATGCACTGAATATTCCGTGTGCACAAACCTTTACAATGAGATGCACTCAAAATAGATTGCATTTACAGTTTCAAGTTGAATATCCCTCACTTGTGAAGCTTAGAATCACAAGTGTTTCCCATTTTGAAATATTTGCATATGCATAATGGGATATGTTGGGGATGAGATCCAAGTTTGTTTGTTTGTTTGAGACAAGGTCTTGATATGTAGTCCAGGCTGGCCTTGAACTCATAGTGATCCTCCTGCTTCAGGTTCCCAGGTTCTGGTATTACAGGCATGTGCCACCACACCTGGCTCTGATGGCCAGCTTTTATCAATGACTTTGCTCTTTCTGGTTGTTGGCTTCCTTTGAAACATGAGTGGAGAATGAAATGCCATCTTCTGCTTTTGAGACCTAAGTCATAATTCTTTCCTAATTTTTTCTCAGTGTTAGGGACCAGACCCAGGGCTTTGCATGTGCTAGGTAAGCACTCCACCACTGAGCTACATCCCCAGCTCCCATCCACTTTTATTCTCTGAAGTTTCCAACATAAAAGCCGCCCCATTACTTATATGTTGATAACTGTATTCATTTTTTTTCCAGAAGAAAGAATAAGTCATTCTTTTTAGTTCATTAGAGCTCATCAGGCTCTGAGGAGAAACCGCACGACACAGGATGGTGCATGATTCTGCCCTCGAATGTGGAGGGGATGAGCCACATTCCTTTGGTTGATTACAGCAGTCTTAGCTGTTTGTAGAGACAAGCATGGTTGTTACAATGCCCATGAGATGGGTTGGTCCATCTATGCCCAGTGTCTTCAGGATTGGGCTTGCTCTTCTCCGCAGAGCTCAGAGACACCACGGCGTAGGGTTTGCAGCTGTATAAGCCACACACACACACATTCTGTCTATTCCAGGTGACCACGGAGCATCTGTATGGCAGCAAAGCTCCACTAGTGCTCCACACAAGAATCACCTGGCTGGAGGCCCTTGGATAGAACAAGCCCATTATAGTAGAATCCATGGAGGGGAGATTCCAGCAGTTCTAAAGAACACTGGTGCATGAGGAGATGAAAACATTTTTAACGTGAATGGGAACTGGGCTGGCTCTCTGTGGATGGAGAGCTCTCCAGGGCTCATTCAGCCTCATCCCCATCCCTTTCCACTCCTCCTCCTGCTCACACATCTGCCCCCAATCTCATCCCCTAAAAGACCCAAGTCCTGAGGTTTTCACACAGACCATCACCTGCACTTTTTATTAATTGCTCTGTGAATGGATTTGAAAGCATCAACTTTGTTTTCAATCACTGAGAACAGTTCAAGTCCTTCCCAGTGACCAGCGGCAGGAAATACCTAAAGAAGGACCAGACTAGAGAAAATAGGAGTATACAGAGATGTTAGGTAAAGTAATGTGGTACGGGCACACGAGGAGGTAGATAGCTAATGGGAAACACATGAGCTGGCTAAAATGGACCTTAGATATGGGAATTCAGAATGTGACAATGTGACATTTCCAATCAATATGGAGAACAAGGACAATTCCATAAGTGGCACTGAGACAACCAGATAGCCCCCTCCAAATTTAGGAGTTACCAACGTGATAATTATTTTTTTGTTTTGTTTTGAGACAGGGCCTCACTATGTAGTCCAGGCTGACCTTGAACTCGAGGTGATCCTCCTGCCTCAGCCTCCTGAGTTGTGGGATTACATTTTAGAAACACAAAAATCAGGACAAAACATTTGAAACTTGTATTAAATCCAGGCATTGTTGCACACACCTGTAATTTCAGCACTTAGGAGGCTGAGGCAGGATGATCACTACGAGTTAAAGGCCACCCTGGGCTACACAATGAGTCCAAAGGCAGCCTGAACTACATAGTGAGACCCTATCTCAAAACAAAAACCCACAAACGCTTGTATTACAGAGGGCTAAGATATGGAATGTATTAAAAGTTCCCACAATTGGTAAGTAAATAGAAAGATGGCAAAGAATACAGTTTCCAGAGAATAAGTGCAAGCGACTGTTAAACGTACGAAAAAATGTTCACGTTCATTCACAACATGAAAAAATTAAAGCTATCCTAGGATACCACTTTTTACTAATATCAGGTTAATGAAAAAATTTAAAAATACCTTCTATATTGAGGCTATGGGAAAATAAATACTCATGTTTTGTTGGTAAAAATAAAATGATTAGAACTTAATTTATCAATGTACTGAATATCAAAATGATAGAAAACACGAGCTATACAATAAAATAGCATTCAGGAGTGATGAGGTACTGATAAATACTGCAACACGGGTGAGACTTGGAAGAGATTAGTGATTCAGACCTGTTCTGGGACATCATTCCCTACATACCCAATTGAAGGTCAGCTCAGAGGTTAGTGCTTTTTAAAACTGTTGTAGTTCAGGCTGGCCTTGTGTAGCCTGGCTTGGTCTTGAACTTGCGGTGATCCTCCTGCCTCAGCCTCCTGAGTGCTGGGATTATAGGCAGATACCATGTCTGGCTAGTGTTTTTTTTTTTTTAAATTAAACATTCTTTCTGCTTTGTATTGTCTGAGAATCATAAATCTCCACAAAACAGGATGGGGATATTGCTCAGCAGTAGAACATATACTTAGTACGCACAAGATATTTTCCAAAGGAGGTTAAAGGCCATAAGTATATGAAAAATGCTCAATATCTTTAGCCATTAAGGAAATGCCAATGAAAACTGCTTTCAGACCCCAGCTCACCCCTTGCAGAGTGGCTGTCATCAAGAATACAAGAAACAATGCATGTTAATGAGGATGTGGGGAAAAGGAAACCTCCTACATTGTGATAGGAATCTAAAACAGTACAACCACTATGGAAATCAGTATGGAGAGTTCCCCAAAACTAAAAATGGAAGTACCATTAGATCAGCTGCACCTCTCCATGTACACTCTCAAAAGAATTAAGGACAACATACTCTGGTGATACATGCATACCTATGTTTATAGCAGTGCAATTCACGGTACCTAAGCTCTGGAAGCAGCCTTGTTGCCCATCAATAAATGAATGGATAAAGAAAAAAGTGCTATATATACACAATGGAATACTATTCAAACATAAAAAAGAATAAAATCATGTCATTTGCAAGAAAATGGATGGAATTTGAGACTACCATGCTAAGTGAAATAAGCCAGAGTCAGAAAGTTAAATAGACTATGTTCTCTTTCACAGGAGAAAGCTAAACTGAATAAATAAGTGAATAAAATAAAGGAGAGATGGAGAACCAGATTATGGAGAAGGTAAAGGAAAAGGAGAGGGGAGAATGGACTTTAAAAGAATCAAGATATGTTAAATGCAAGTTCCACAGACTCAAAATGATCCACAACACTTTATATTACTAACATTCACTGAAAACCAAACCAAAACAAAGAACACTCTTGTCTGTGGTCCAGTTCCCATCTGCTATCTGGCCTTGATTTGGGTGGTGGCAGGAACTTGTCCTGGGACCTGGTCCCTTTCCCCCTAGCATCTGTAACTATTCCATAAACTTTTATTTTAGAGATTTCTGTCTTCAGAGTTTTAGTTTCATAAGTGTAACCGGATTTTAGAATGGAAAATAAACTGAACCGAGATCTTTAAATTACATTGCTGTGATTTTGTCCTGACATGCGCAAACCAGGACAGTCATCCCGACACCCCACTACATATTCACACATGCATGTGTGCAAGGAACTACCCAGTTATGTACCTGTGCCACCTTGGCAAAAATACAAACTTTAAGAGATGAGCTTTAAAACTGAAGATGTCTATGTTTGCAATAGGGTCCTATCCCTTATACCTGTTCAATGGAATAAATATGCTAAATCTGGCAATTACAGGGATATAGGATTCATTTCACAGAAATCCACATTAGAAATAATGTTTTGAAAACACTATTAAAGAGATACAGACCATAATTCACACACACACACACACACACACACACACTGGACCACAGAGTGCAGGTAATAATTCTTCCTTTAATATGATTCATAATTATTTTGATGACCTTTAAGTCAATCTCAGATTTGCAATGGCAGCCCCACTGGCTAGCTTTTTCTGCGTAACAGTTGAATGAACTGGGGTTTCGCCAGAGTTCTAGAATCCATGTCTCTTGAAGTATTTGGCGCGTGCAAGGACATCATTGCAGAAGTCGCAGCTCAGGTCCTGGCCCCTTCGGACAAAGCCAGCAGCCTCGCTGTAGGAGCACAGCCCAGCTGAAATGCAGGTGATAGGTTAATCCCAAGGGGCCTGGCAGCCCCTTGCTGCTTCAGGATAATCAGCAAAACAAACCTTAGATTGTCTTTCCTGACTGCCTAGCAGGAGGCAATTGTGGTTTGAGGGAATGTAGTGCAAGGTATTAAATTTGTATGGATTCCATGCTGTGAAAAAATGACCAATGGGGTTATACGTACCTCTCAGGTACTGGTCGGGGGTCCAGGTTGGAAATGTCCTCTGGATTTCTTTGATTCTAGTAGTCAGAACCTTAGTCATCTGGGAAACCTGGGACTCGCTGATCCAAGATTTGGGAGCAAAAACATTTATGTCCTAGAAGCAAAGAGGCAGAGGAAAAACTGGGTAAGCTGACGGGGTGGGGTGGGGGATGCCAGGTCATGTGCTCAGTGTCTTCCTTTCCTTTCCTTTCCCCTCTGCTTTTCTCATTCCACCTTTGGTGGAACCAATGCCAGGTTTGATCTCCCTGGGGATTAAAGAGTAAAGCCACCTACACCTATAAGGATTGCCATTGTCAAAGACACAAAAGGCAAGTGTCAATGAGGATGTATACTGGGCCGGGGATTTAGCTCAGTGGTTTCGTCGCCTGCTGCGCAAACGGAAGGACCTGAGTTTGATCCCCGGTACCAAAAAAAAAAAAAAGAGGATGTGTAGGAATTAGAATCCTTGTGTGCTGTTGATGGATATGAAAAGTGATACAGCTACCATGGGAAGCAGTATGGAGGTTCCTCAGAAAATTAAAATAGGAAGTGCATGTGATCTAGCAACCTCATCTCTGAGTTTTTATCCAAAATAACTGAAATCAGGTGCCCAAAGAAATAGTAGCACTCCTATGTTCACTCCAGAGCTGTGCCCATAGCCAATTTATAGAAGCAACTAAGCATCCTTGACAGATGAGTGAACAAAGAAAATGTGGCACATACATACACCATGGAGTATTGCTCAGCCTCACAAAGAAAGGCCATTCTGTACCAGGGATAATGTCTAGATAAGCATTGAGGACGTTATACTAAGTGAAATAAGCCGGTCACAGAAAGACAAAAACCAAATACCACATGATTTCACTCATATTAGGGGTCTAAAACAGTCCAATGCGCAGACACAAGGAACAGAATGGTGTACTAGACTAGCCTAGGGGGGAAGGGAGAGGCAGATTTGCTAGTTAACATGTGTAAAACTTCAGCTTTGCAGTAAAAATGTTCTAGAAATCTGATGTGCAACATTGTACATGGAATTAATGCCACTGTATGGTGTACAGTATGGTATTTAAAATAAAATCTTTAAAGAGATCTCATGTTAAAGGTCCCTACCAAGAAAGAAAAAGTTAACCCCAGAGTTTGGGCTAAGGAAGGAATGAGCAGTCATTTCACTGCTGCCTCAGGTGAGAGGTCCAGTTGGAGACCAGAAATGACTGCTTTTGTGTAGATACCATCTCAATGGCCTTCTTCAATGCTGCAAACGTGAAACTCCTTAGGAGTTTCCCCAGTCCTGGAAATCTTCCTTCCGGTGATCAGGATGTCTCAGGGCACTTCTAACCTGTCCTATATCCCTTTGGTTTCCACTTTCACACCGGGTTCACCTTATTTAGGAGAAATGTCTCAATTCTGGGGATTCTTATTTCATCTTGAAAGGAGGTCAACTCATCCTTTTCCCCAAGAGCCAGATGTTACAAAGAAGCCAGCAGGGGGCAGCAGCAATGAAGCCAGCCCAGGCCTCCTCAAGATGTCCTTTGTTCCAGGTGTGTGATTTCCAGGGTGATTTTACAGCAGTGACCACTCCCTTGTGAGTTCATTTCCTCACTTGTCAAGGATGGATTGTGGATCCCCAAATCGAGATAAGTTACTTGAAAGAACTTTGATTTATAGTTTCATACAAGGAACTACTGATGCAAAACCAATTTAAGGATCATGGAATGATAAATGTTCTTAAAAGTTTAAGAAATGACTATAATTCTCACAGGTTTCCCAGGAACAATGGTCTGAGATATAGTAGGAAGAATTGAGCCTCAGACTCAACTTTGCTGTCAATGACCCCAGCTGAGCATTAATTAGTGTAGTCTGACCTGTTTCCCAGAAGTCTCTTCCCCACAAATTACGTCAGAAAATCAGTCAATGAAATGAAGATGTAATTGAAAACCTACCACCACCACCACCAACAACAAAAAAGCCCAGGCCCTAATGAATTCACTGATAAATTCTATAAGAAATTTAGAGAAGACCTAATGCCACTACTTCTCAAACTCTTTAATGAAACTGAAAGGGAAGCAATATTCCCAAATTCATTCCTGGAAGCAAGCATTACTCTGATACCAAAGCCAGAGAATGATCCAACCAAAAAAGAGAAATACAGGCTAATCTTACCAATGAACATAGATGCCAAAATCCTCAATAAGATACTGGCAAACAGAAGAGTCCAGATCATCAAGAAGATTATACACCCTAACCAAGTGGGATTCATCCCAGGGATGCAGGGATGGCTCAACATACACAAATCAATAAATGTAATACACTATATTAACACAGCCAAGGACAAAGACCATACGATCCTCCCAACAGAAGCAGAATAAGTGTTTGACAAAGTTCAACACCCATGTGTGATAAAAACCCTACAAAAAATTGAAATAGATGGTCTTTATCTCAACCTAATAAAAACCATCTATGACAAAGCAACAGCCAACATCATACTAAATGGACAAAAAAAGATTTCACTCCAAAATCAGGAACAAGACAAGGATGTCAACTTCATCACTCTTGTTCAATATAGTTCTGGAAACATTAGCCAGAGCAATTAGACAAGAGAAAGAGATAAGAGGGATAAGGATAGGAAAGGAAGAAGTTAAATTATCATTATTTGCAGATAACATGATACTCTACATGGACAACACCAAAAGCTCCACAAAAAGACTTCTAGATTTAATAACCAACTTCAGTAGTGTAGCTGGACACAAGGTCAACACTCAAAAATCAATAGCCTTCCTGTACACAAATAACAAATTTCACAATAACATAAAAAAAGAAATACCTAGGAATCTAACAAGGAAAATAAAAGACCATTACATGGAAAACTACAGTACTCTGAAAAAGGAGATTGAAGGGGATATCAGAAAGTGGAAAGGTGTCCTTTGTTCTTGGTTAGGAGAAACCAATGTAGTGAAAATGAGCATACTTTCAAAATTGTTATACAGATTTAAGGCAATCCTGATCAAAATTCTAATAGCATATCTCACAGAATTAGAAAAAATAATCCTACAGTTCATTTGAAACCAGAAGAGACCTAGAATAGCAAAGGCAATTATGGGCAACGAAGGCAAGGCAGGGGGCATCATAATTCCTGACTTGAAATTATACTACAAAGCTACTGTGATTAAAAACAGCATGGTACTGGCAAAACCCTCCAGGATGAATGGAACAGACTAGAAGATGCAGAAACAACTCCAGACACACTCAGCCACCTCATCTTTGACAAAGGAGCCAAACACCTTCACTGGAAGAAAGATAGCCTCTTTAATAAATGGTTCTGGAAAGATTGGCTTTCCACATGTCAAAGATTAAAACTAGACCTATATCTTTCACCACACACTAACTTAAAATTGAAATAGATCAAAGATCTAAATACTAAAACAGAAACACTAAATCTGCTGGAAGAGAGAATAGGTAGAACTCTCGAAGACATTGGTGTAGGCAAAGAATTTATGAACAAAACCTCAGTCACACAGGAACTATCACAAAGAATTAACAACTGGAATCTCACCTTATTAAAAAGATTTTGCTAAGCAAGAGAAGCCACCAACAGGGTGAAGAGACAATCCACAATGTGGGAAAAAAATTTTGCCAACTGTTCCTGAAAGGACCACTATCTAGAATATATAAAGAACTCAAAAAATCAGGCACCACCCCCCAATTTGAAGACCCAATCCAAAAATGGGCATCTGAAATGAATAGATATTTTTCAGATGAAGAAGTAGAAGTGGCAAATAAATATATGAAAAAGTGTTCAATATCACTGGTCATTTGAGAGATGAAAATTAAAACAGTACTGAGATTTCATCTCACTTCAGAAAGAATGGCTATTATCAAGAAATCAACCAATAACAAATTCCGGCAGGGTTGTGGGGAAAAGGGGACCCTTCTCCACTATTGGTGGAAGTGTAGACTGGTGCAACCACTGTGGAAATCAGTGTAGAGGTTCCTCAAAGAACCAAAACCGAAGGTTCCATTTGACCCAGCCATTCCCCTTCTTGGTATCTTGGTATCTTCCCAAAAGAATTAAAAGCATCATACTACATCAATATATGCACACCCATAATTATAGCAGCACAGTTTGTAATAGCCTAAATGCCCATCATCCAACAAATGGATAAAAAAGATGTGTTTTTTTATACAATGGAGTACTACTCTGCTATAAAGAAGGATGAGCTTGAGATATTTATAGCTAGATGGATACACCTTGAGATCATACTCTTAAGTGAAATAAATCAAGCACACATGTTTAAATACTGCATTGTTTCTCTGGTGTGAGAAACCAAAAGTGGAAATAAGGACTAAAATGTATAATAGATATTGGGAAATGGGGAGAAAATGTTCAAATTGGAAAAGGAACAAGGGAGGGGGAGGGGGAAAGGAAAGAAGGACAAGAAAAAAGAGAAAAAGGAAAAAATGGAAGCAAAGCATTTGTACATAAGGAAGGAGGGATGGGGGAAAAATAATAAGCAAGATATATCATGTACTGCTACAAATTCCCTATGATGAATGTTATCATTATGTATATCTAAAATGTACCAGGAAAACACAGAGAACTCAAATAAATAATCTAATGCAGAACCTCAAGCTCCTAGAAGAAGAAGAGCATAACAAACTCAAAGCCCATACAAGAGAGGAAATTATAAAGATCAGAGCAGAAATCAATGCAATGGAGGCTAAGAGAATGATACAAAAAAATCAATGAATCAGAGTTGGTTTTTCAAAAGAATAAATAAAATC